AAATTGCCCCTGACAATCTTGCCAGCAATACAAGAGCATGACTTGAAGACACCCAAAAGGGGAGGGAAGGGATTGACCGAAGAATGTATATGCATACATGCATAATCCACGAACAGACAATAGTGAGGAGAAGGCCTGGGGAGGGGGTGGGAGCAGGGTGGAGGGATGTCAGTGGGGGAGGAAAAGGGGACATCTATCTGTTTTACTTTCAACAATAAAAATAATTTTTTTAAAAAGTATTTCCCAAATTGTCAATCTGGCAGATTAGAACAAAAGCATCATTGTGGGAATTAAGAACAATTAAATCAGTGCACATGCAGACATCCTAAAAACAAGGCTGCCAGTAGAATAGAGCTGCAAACTGCATCCGAGTCGCTGTGACAGGTGGGCGCTGGCATGGGCCTAGCTAGCAGGAGACCTGTCATCGAGCCTTTGGCTTCTCCAGAACTGCCGGGAGCCCAGCCCCGCCCAGGCCCGGCTGCCCTCAGGGCATCTCCCATGGTCCAGCATCCTCTGCGGCCCTTCTGATGGACTGCAGTCCCAGGAACAGGGAGCTCACTGCGTCCTTAGAGACTGACTCCCCTGCTGGATGAAATGATTGACAATTCTGCTTCATAATATGCTGAGACTACTGTTACCTTTGGGCCACAAAAGTCTGAGTTCTTACTCAATTTGAAAAGAAGAAAAGTGCCCCAAAAGATATATAAACTATGTACCATTTTATCTAAATGTTAAGACTATGACCTTTTCAGTTTTTGAAATTGTTAGAGCCTCTGACATTCATATAATTTGTAGGGCAAAGGATAATTGGAGCCTTTTCTGTTTTCATGAGGCACACGGTGTCCGAAAGGACAAGAATGATGCTGGAGCCCTGACTGGTTTTTCACAGTAATTATCTGTACACATGCACTGCGCCTGTAGCTTAATTAGGGTCACCGACCTTCAAGACAGGTTCTATCGGCTGGGACGGTAATTAATATTCTAGTGGCTCTGTGCCCAACTGAAAATCAGAATTTGAAGAAGGGGAGAGTAGATATTGAGGAAGTGATAGCCTTTGCTACAATGCATTATGGAACATGCCAGGAAATAAATGGAGATCTTAACCCTCCTATTTCCCCTTCTATGTGGGTGTATTTTAGCAAGAGTTGGAACATTGATTTGTACTTCTGGATATTTGAAGTATTTCATGAAAACCGTGGTAGTCAACCCTCGTTACCCACCACCCAGAATTAACACTTGCTAAAATTTTCTTTCAAATCTTAAAAAAAAAAAAAATTTGACTCAGATGAGGTCCCTTTTGTTGACACCCCCGTTCCATTCCTCTCCCTTCCGTTCTGAATTACTTTTCTGAATGGCGTGTTTCCCATTGATGTCTCTATATTTCCTCTTTATAAATAACTATTTTTAATTGCATAAATGGCATACGTTTCATCTTCTGGCAGCTCATTCAGTATTTTTCCAAGGGCTAGCCACTGACACCACAGCTCAAGCTCACCCATTTTAACTGCTTGACTGTTTGGCATTTTATAAATAGGCCATGATGTATCCACTTTCTTGCTCAAACATTTGGGGAGTTTCCATCTTTTCCCAGATGCAAACAGTTCAGCTGTGAACATCCACGTCAGGCTCCTATTTCTGGCAGCTCATTCAGTATTTTTCCAAGGGCTAGCCACTGACACCACAGCTCAAGCTCACCCATTTTAACTGCTTGACTGTTTGGCATTTTATAAATAGGCCATGATGTATCCACTTTCTTGCTCAAACATTTGGGGAGTTTCCATCTTTTCCCAGATGCAAACAGTTCAGCTGTGAACATCCACGTCAGGCTCCTTGCACATTGGACACGGGTCCTCGACAGCCCTGCTTCTCAAGCCTGAAGCAGCACGAGTGTGAATGCTGCAAACTTTTGCAGCAAGGGTTCAGGATCTGGAGAAGGGGCCGACACACAAATGAAGACACTAGACAAGAAATATAAATTTAGAAATCACGGGGGAGCCAGGTGGAAACGTCTCTCTAGCAGAGAAGCTCCCCGAAGCCCTGAACTGATTAGCATTTATTCAATTTTAGATACACATCTTGCCCTCAGTTAGGCATGGCAATCCGATGGCAGACAATCTCAAAGGTCAGTCAATATTAATAAAGATTTACTTTGAGACTATTAGGTCAGGAAATTGCTTCGAGCCACCACTATCTCGATAGAACAATCGGTGCATAGCTTTAGCGCTTGCTAAAGCTCAAGGTTCATCAGCCTTCCGAGTTCCTTGTTGCACTTTTATGATAGTGTTTGACAATAGCTTCCGGCAAGATAGCTTCCTGAGAACCTGTTAACCACAGACCCTCCCTCTGCAGGTCAGGGGTGGGTCTTCGAGCTGCATTCTGACAGAGCCCCCAGGAAGCCCATGCTGTGCACACTGAGAGAAGTGACCACAGGTATGACCTAGGGTTGCTGGGTCAACTTTCAAAAATCATCCAATGGAACCAGTTTTACTCCCAAAGAAATGAATGTGTTCTCTTTCCTCCACCCTCACCAACACTGGATCTTATTAGACCTTTTGCCTTTTGTCAATCAAAAAGCATGAAATGAGGATTCAATCCTATTTCCCTCGTTATTAGTGACAATGACCACCATTTCAAGTTGTTTGACCATTTAAGCTTTCTCTGTTCAGATATTTTATCCGTTTTTCAAATGCAGTAGTTCTGTTGTCTGAGGACCCTGAGGGCCCAGTGGGGAAGGGGGTCCACAAAGTCCTTCCTTTTCCAATTTCCCATCGTGTGACGTTCGATTTCCTTCATATACTTTAACACAGTGACTGGCTGCAGAAGTGGATATGCGGATCCAGCTGTCTCCTGTTAAGCTAGACATTACAGAGATTTTCAAACATGTGACATAAAGCCTCTTCTCATTAAAATTGTTTTGAAAAATAGCTGTTTTCTATAATTGTTATTTAACATGTATTTTTAAATAAATTATTTAAATTTAGTACTTTAATTTCCAATGAGTAAATACCAATAGAATACCAATAACCTACCACACAGAAACCCTTTGGGATTCTCAATTCTAAGAACACAGATGGGTCTTGAGACCAAGTCTGTGAACTGCTGCATGAATGCGTGCTGTCACTCGGTCATTGGTTTGTAGGAGGTTCCTGTGTTTGAATGTATTCTGGACCCTAATCCTTTGTCAGTTACATGTACAGCAAACATTTCTCCCAGTCCAGGCTTGTCTTTTTATTTATGGTGCCTACTGTTCTACAGGACTTTTCATTTTGATTGAGTCCTATTTTCCTGTAGTGTTGTACTTTTTCTAAGTACATTAGGAAGGAAATTCCTATAAAACTTTATGCACATTTAATGCAACATGTTCACTTCTGTCTATAAATATTTTAACTGAAAAAGATTTAACTCATTTCAAATCACCATTATGTAGAAAGCTTTTGTGTTTAAAAAGCACTTTTATATGTGATTTTATTTGACCTTCAGAATAATCCTGCATGATAAATGGGGACAATATTATTATGGAAAGAACTGTGTCACAAACAAGGAAAATGAAGAGCTGAGAAGTGAAATGATTTCGCAGTGTCATGCACACAGGATCAGCAATGAGATCTAACTTCCAATCACAACTGATGAAGATCCCTTAAAAATTATGGCTGGTTTTTGTCAATCAGAATAAAAGTGACAAGTAACCACAATCAATCCTCACATGAAGCAGAAACAATTAAATGCCTGCATGGTTGGCACAGGGCAAGCAAGGGAGGCCTAGAGGGCATTTGCGGGACATTCAATGCCTTTCAAGATGATGTCCTACTTCTTACTGCATAATAACATGTGATTACATGCCTGCCTGTGCATTAATATTCCTATTTCATAACTACAGGCAATTTGTCTAGTTCAAGTTAGAGGAAGGTGGAGTGTTCAGATGGAGCCTGGGAGAAAGAGACCAAAGACAGAAAAGTGACCAGTATTTTCCATGAAGGGAGCAGGGAAAAGGGGGAAAAACAATTAGGAGGAAGTAGTGATAGAAGTTAGACACAGAAGGGGAGGAAGGTAAAGAAATATATATCTAAGGGAAAAAGACAAAAATAAAAGCTTAAGGAATGAAAGCACGGACCCAAGTCCAGCACAGATGTACCACATCAGTACAACCCCCGAGGCTGTCAGAAAGCCTCAGCATCAGGGGCTTGCTCTCCAGTTTACACGTAACTGAAGATTCCTTCCTTTGGAGACTCAAGGAGAGAAATAAGTTCACTGAACGGAAAGTGAGGAGTTCGAAGCTACTTTCAAGACCAATGAAAAGAACTGCCTATTTATTTAATCCATCCTAAAACCGACTCATCACTGAACATGTTAGACCACACTCACTTGTAATGACTCTCCATATCTCTTTGGATTTAATATTCATCTTTGCTACAGAATAGAAGGCATAAATAGCAACTTTCTTAAAAAATCTTTCATTAAAAACGTTTTTCTCCATTGAATGATGTAAAAAAAACAAAACAAAACATTTCTAAAAATAGTGATGAAAAAGCTCAAGGCAGAATATCCCTAGTTAATGTATCAGTATAAATTCTGCACCATCTGCTACGCTGACCAATCACACTTTCCAGCTGTCACTGCTCCTGAGGAGGAAGCGCCGTATAAATTAATTTGCTTCCACCTCCACAATTCAAATCAAAGGAAGAAGCCAAGCTGCATGTCGATAATTACCAGTAAAATCTCAAACTGAATCAACATAGTCATACCTTGGATAGACAGTATTCTTGAAACACAACCATATATGTTCACATAGTTTCTATCTTTCATTGTCCTTGAGGGGGAAAATACATAGTAATTAACAATAGGTTCTTTAGAAATAATTTTAAAATTAGAACCAGAGTCATGGTATCAGGTGGAAAAATAAATCTATGGCAATTTTAAAACAATCTGGAATCATTGACAAAAGCATTAAATCACATAAAAACACTTAATGAGAAATTCACAAAATAAAACAGAGAGGGGCATTTGTATGTGTTAAAATAATTTAATTCTCCCTGTACATTCTGTCCACGAGCCAGCAGAAACCAAGAATACGCACTTTACAATATTTACCTGTTTTGAGATATTCAAGTCCGTTCAGATGGCAAAGTAGAATTCAATCACTAATGAAATGTTTAAAAATATATATATTAAACAGAAAAATGTTTTTACAAGATAAAAAATAATCTTCCACAATGCAATAAATTGCAGATCACTGAAACTTTAACTCTTTAGATGATTTCAGTTCAGTTTTTGGTTTCAAAATCTAGAGACAATCAGAAAGAAAAGGCGTTGGCAGAATGTCTATCTGTTTTTGCGTTTGTCTTTCTTGCTTCGACTACTTGTTACACCATTTAAAGAAGACGACGAGGGCGCTCTTGCATGCCCCGTGGCCTTTAGATGGTCAAATAGTTTATTCCGGGATGGAAACTTGCTGTGGCAGGTGGTACAGCTGATCAGAACGTCACTCTGAGAGGGGGAAACCAATAATAAAAGCAAGTGTTATCTGAGAGCAGTATGTTTTCATGTCCTGATTAAATATCAAACAATCGCAAAATAAAGATCTTTTAACAAAATGGAAAACTACCAAGACAGGCTCAACAGGGGCAGCTGTTCCTGAAAGTTAAGTCCCATTAACCACCACCATCAACCTTACGAGTTCTGAGACATGCAATAGCTGCCCGCCTCAGACTAGACCAAGGCTTTAGATTTCAGAGTAATGGAAACAGAACAGGAACTGTTCACACAAGCTGCTATTTCCCATACGTGTCTTACTCCTTTAAAGGAAACAATGAGAGTGGCACAAGTCTAAATTCTACGTTTGTCCAGGAAAAGTGCTGACAGATCCACACATAGTAGCAGGGGCAGAGGGCTCACCGAACACACTCACATGTTTGGAAGGGGAACTAAGAATTTGGGCTACGGCGCTTAAACACCGTACAGGCTTAAACACAGACACACTGTGACCTACCAGGGTCTGAGGCTCGGCAGGCACTCTGACAGATTTCTTCGTATCTTTGGCTTTCTTTCCTCTGGGTTTAGGGACACTGGCAAGTAAACGAAAGAATTCAGCATAATCCAATAATTATCATTTTGCTCCCAAGATGACTCAAATGAATGACATGCACTTTAATGGCTAATTCATTCATTTTAATGGTCATGTTAATTAATTTTCACATTTCAAATAAATAGCTTTAAAGAGCAACTTTAAAGATCACATTTTATATCAGGTTTGTCACAATAATTAAGAAATTTACCTAAAATGGTTGAAACATAAGCTAAAACAAAACCTGTCAAATTCTCTAAATTTTCATACTATGTGTTTTTGTTAAAAAGCAAAGCACTTCATATTCCATTTGTTGAAGCAAACCATCGTCACTGCCAACCAGTACTCCTCACAGATAGTCTGTGACATTAAGTGTGGCTCCTACAAGTGCTACTTCTTGGACCAGATCCCGCCTGGGACAAACATCCTAACAGTGTCTCAATGAAGTGAAATGAGGAAAATAGCGACACTGTCATGCACTTTTCGTAAAATTACATTTGTTCAACAGAGAGGATTTTCTTTTATTAAGAGACTGTCCTTTCTGCTGACTAGTGGGCTCCCCCGGACTCTTTCACCCAGAAGCTGCCGCCAGGACAGCCGTCCACTCCTGGTCCACTTTCACTCTGCGCTGTCCTCTTCCCAGCCCTCGAGGTGAATGGTAGCTTTCCCCAGTTATTTCATACTCCCCTCATGTGTGCTAACCACGTTCTTAGGATAAAGTCCAAGTGCAACTACACAGAACAGACAGCCTGGGTTACAGGGATGAGCTATGACAATGCTGCCCTACTATTCTTTAAGCAGAAACCAAGAGTCTGCATTAAGTTAAATGGCGTATACAGGCACACATCATTTTACTGCACTTCACAGATGCTGTTTTTACAAATTGAAGCTAAGCCTCCACAGCAAAAAGGTTACAACGGGCTTTACTGTGGTGGTCAGGAACCAGGCCCGCAATGGCGCTGATTAGGGTGTAACACAACATTAGCAGCATTCAGCCAGCTTTGAAAGCATCAAGGAAAGGACATAATGGCATACAGGCTACAGATTAAAAGTTACTAATTTGCCAAAACCGGTTTGGCTCAGTGGATAGAGCGTCGGCCTGCGGACTCAAGGGTCCCAGGTTCGATTCCGGTCAAGGGCATGTACCTGGGTTGCGGGCACATCCCCAGTAGGAGATGTGCAGGAGGCAGCTGATCAATGTTTCTCTCTCATCGATGTTTCTAGCTCTCTCTCTCCCTTCCTCTCTGTAAAAAATCAATAAAAATATATTTAAAAAAAATTTAAATTTAAAAAAATAAATAAAAGTTACTAATTTACTAAGTATCATCATAGATATGCCACAAATATACCCAAGAGCACTTAGGGTGACATTCCTAGAGAACAATTTATCATGTTATGAAAGACAGCAGCTGCATCCGTGAAGCTCAAATCGAAGAACTTTATTTTTTTAAAAGGACTTTATATACATGCAGGTTTTTTAATGAACTTCTCACTAGGTTACCAGCATCACAGGGGCCCCAGAAAGGCAATGGACACCCGGGGGTATGTGTGAGTGTGTGTCTGTGTGAGAGTGTGTGTATGTGTGTGTATGTGTGTGAGTGTGATTATGTGATTATGTGTGAGTGTGTGTGTGTGTGACAGTGTGTGTGTATGTGAGATGGTGTGTGTGTGTGTCAGACTGTGAGACTGTGTGTGTGTGTGTGTGTGTGTGTGTGTGTGTGAGTGAGAGTGAGATTGAGTGTGTGGGTGAGAGGGAGTGTGTGTATGAGAATGTGTATGTTTGTGTGAGAGTATGTGTGAGAGTGTGTGAGTGTGAGACTATGTATGCATGTTTGTGTGAGGGACTAAGAATGTGTGTGTGTGTGTGTGTGTAAGAGTGTGAGACTGTGTGAGTGCGTGTGTATTCACACCCAGCCCTGACACTCCTCAGCAGTGAAGTCAGCCAGACCAAGTCCTGAACAGAGAACAGCTGCCACAGCCTGTGGATTCGGCGGTGATGCTCCAGCTGAGTGGGCACAGCCTCGTCAGTAGCTTGATCGCACGTGAGCTCGGGGATGACTGACACAGGGATAACTACGCACCTCAGCGGAACAAGGGAACAAAACGGGATCAAAGCGACTGCTTCCTGATTTCGGCCATTTGCTGAAATGTCTGTGAGCGCGTCCTCTGGCATTCTCTCCAGCACCCTTCATCTGTATACACGTGTCTGGATATATACACACTGACAGACACATCCACTTCCCCCCACCCGTCATGGGAAAGAAGCTTCTACTTGACATATGACAAGATACCCTCACCACCAGGATCAAGATGTAGACAACCACATGCACCTTGGCCTACCTTCTCGCTTCACTTTTCGGGTCCTCACACAGCTGACCAGCCTCTGGGACCCTGACACTCTCTTGGGGACCACCTTCTAATTCTTTGGCACTGTCTTGATTTAAGTTGGTATCTTCTGGATCAACTTTCACTCCTTCTCCTATTCCATTTTCATTGCAATTATCATCATAATTCTAGGTTATAAACACGTGTGCATTACAAAATAAATACTATAATAGTACTGGCTTCTTAGGTTATTCGGCCAAATAGTTATAATAAACAATGACAATGTCCCAAGCCCCCTAGTTAGAGTGCATCTTCAGGCAATAAAAAGAAACAGATAATTTTAAAACATGAATGCTCTCCCTCTGATATTTCACCATTTTCTTTATGCCATTCTATTTAAGGGACTTGAGCATCCATGCATTTTGGTATCTGGGGAGTCCTGGAACCAATCCCCCACAGACACCAAGAGAGAAGGGCAATTCTTGAATTTGGACCCCAGGTATGAAATACTTAAACTACTTAAATTTCTGAGTATATCAACATTCTTTCAATAACCACAATCATTGCAAGTTTCTAAACAAATGTTTCTTCTGTGAAATTTTAATTATGTTGTCAACAGAACAAACTTGATTATACAATGAGAAATCCCAGGGGTCACGTGTCCAGATATTTTTTTAAATATGGTCACTCAGCTAATTAGTATTAGGAGAATTCCACATGCAAAATTTTAAAACACCCTGACAATAGTAATTAAATAAATTAGTTGCATACATATAAGGGGGGGGCTTAAAAAAGAAAACATTTTCAACTCCTTTTAATCGTTTTACAATTGACATGAAATTAGAGCAAAAGTCCTTCTCCTTAATACTATTCTCCTAATACTAAAAGTTTCGCTAACATTAAACAGCAAATCTAGAGTTGTAATGCTCTTGAATTTGGACCCCAGGTATGAAATATTTAAACTACTTAAATTTCTGAGTATATCAACATTCTTTCAATAACCACAATCATTGCAAGTTTCTAACCAAAAGTATTCTCCTAATACTAACATACCTGTGCTGGTTTCTGTTTCTTTTTCTTCTGTTTTTTAGAAAGCCTAAGAGCAAATATAAATCAAAATGTCAAATACTTGATTCTATAAAGATTTATGAAGTAAAAAGAAAAACAATTAAGCACTAATGATACAGAGAGAAATAAAAAAAAATTAAAATTATAAATATCATAAAGCATTAACAGGAAAATGTTCACATTATTTTAGAATATTGTAAGTGGCTCAATTGACAGGAATTAGCATATCAATTACGTAGGTATAAAATTGCTTTTAAATATAGTCATAATATAGTGTGTAAAATTATATTTGACATCATGTCTTTACCCATTTCAATACTATAAAGTTCACTTCACTAGAAGAAATGCAGAAAATACAAGCGTAACAGGCTGACTTCTTCGGGATAAAGCAGCCTCTACAGCAGTGGTTCTCAACCTTCTAATGCTACGTGCAACCCTTTACTACAGTTCCTCATGTTGTGGTGACCCCCAATTTCATTGTTACAAATTGAACATAATTAAAGCATAGTGATTAATCACAAAGACAATATGTAATTATATATGTGTTTTCTGATGGTCTTAGGCAACCCCTGTGAAAGGGTCTCCCCACTAGTATCTCCTGCAGATCAAGGTTCTTTGGAGAAATGGGAACATTTCGTGCCAGATAGGAAGTGCTCGGCAATGCCTGGGGCATGTCAAGGACACAGGAGCAGGTGGAAGGACTCTCACTAACCACTGACGGGAAACTGGAGCAGGAAAAGGGCAATAACAAATACAAAACATTGAAAAAGTCCCTAAACTCAGACTGACACAGACCAGTCCAAGGGGCAGTGAAGCTCCTGTTTACAGCAGAAAGCCACATGCTGATGACCATGTGACACGTGTAACGCAGTACCTGCCCCTCAACCGGGTCCCAGACCCAAGTGAGAAAGATGCCACACAGGACGCTACGAGGATCACCTGACGAAAGTGGAACACGGCAGGAAACGACAGAAGTGCCGTATCAATGGCATCCGTTTCCTCCAGCTGACAACTGCACTCTGATTGTAGAGAATGTGCTTAGGAGCACTGCACACGTCACGTACTCAGAACCGTGTGTAGCGAGAGAACAAGCACACGCAAATGGGGAGCCTGAGCAACCGTGAGCGGAGTGCTCTACACTCTGTCCTCGCGACTGGCCTGAGTTCAATGTTACTTCCAAATAAACAAGACTTTCTAAACCTCCTTTCCTGCGGCTGCTTCCTGCTGCTGCTGCTTCTCCAGCTCGCCCACTCCCCTCACTGCTCCCTGACTTCCCCGGAGGCTCATCCAGACAGACCGTTCCTGACACCCACATCCTCACTGTCATCCCCTGGTCCCCTTTTCTCTTTTCTGCGCATATTTTGCTGCTTTTTCCCTTGCTGGTTCTACATTTCCCCCATATTCTTGACTCTCCTTATACCAGTACCCATTTTAGTACTTCTGTCCCCACTGTTCCTGTAAGAGCAGGTCCTCTGCGCTCTCCCGCCTGGGAGCAGGCCTGTGCTCTTCCCTGCCCCCTCGCTCTTTTTCCCTCAGGTGCAGTACCTATATTACGCTAAGCGAAATAAGCCAGTCGGAGAAAGATAACTATCACATGATCTCACCCATATGTGGGATATAATGATCAACATAATTCTATGAACAAGAATAGATCAAGAGACAAATGGTAGGGGAGGGGGGTTAGAGAGCAACCAAAGGACTTGTGTGCAGGCATATTAGCATAACCAATGGACACAGACATTGGGGTGGTGGGGGCTTGCCCGGAGTGGGAATGACTGGGGGAAGAGGGGATCAATTGGGGGAAAGGAGACATATGTAAAACTTTAGACAATAAAATAAATACATAAATAAATACATAAATAAATAAATGTAGTGAGATGCCCTGGCTGATTTGGCTCAGTGATTAGAGCGTTGGACCTTGGACCGAAGGGTCGAGGGTTCAATTCCAAGTCAAGAGCACCCACATACTTCGGCTGCAGGTCCATCCCCATTCTGGTCTGGGTGAGAGTAGAAGGCAATCAATCAATGTGTCTCTTACCTCAATGTTTCTCTCTCTCTCTCCCCAACTCTCCTCCCTTTCACTCTCTCAAAAAAAAAAAATCAATGAGAAAATATCCTCACTCCTCAGTTGAGGATTTAAAAAAAAATAGTGAGACAAGGAAAAGTTGGGGGGCAGAGGAAGGGTATAAAAAACAAGGAAGAGCCCAGCTGGCATGGCTCAGTGGTTGAGCATCGACCTATGAACCAGGAAGTCATGGTTCGAATCCTGGTCAGGGTACATGCCCAGGTTGCAGGCTTGATCCCCAGTGTGGGGTGTGCAGGAGGCAGCCAATCAATGATTCTCTCTCATCACTGATGTTTCCATCTCTCTCTCTTCCTCTCCTTTCCTCTCTGAGATCAATAAAAATATATTAAAACCAAACCAAACTATACTTTAGACATCATAATAATAAATAATTAAAAAACAATAAAAAATAAGAGATCAAGGAACCAATCAATAAAGCCCCTCCTCCCCTCAGTAAATGTCCCCTCGCAGGACACGGTGAAGCTCCTGGGTGGCAGCAATGGCCTATATGGGAGCGATGGCTGGAAGTGAGTCTGCCACCAACAGAGAGAGATGGTGTAGCCTTGTGGCCCATATGACTGCACCTTCTTTGCCAAAAAAGCAACATTTCTTTCTGAAGACCACGTGCATGTTTACAAAGCAGCTGCCCACAGGAATGCTGGCACGACTGATCACTCCACGGGCTGACCTGCTGCTACAACGGCCTTCTCCCCAGGATGCTGTAAGGACTAGGGAGCTGCTACCAGCAGCATTTTCTTTTCAGGACTTGCAAAGCGTTACACTCGCCTCAAAAGAAAAGGTGAGTTCAAAGACCTTAAACTTACGCCTTTTCCGTCTTGAAAGATTTGTCACACGCTGGGCAGTACAGTCCCTCATAAAGCTCCACGCCATCGGCCTCGTCGCTGTCCTTCCCTGCAGGAAAGAGGTCGCAGTAAGAAGCCTGTGCCATTAGAACACAGACCTACAACATGCTAACAAAACGTTTACTTCCTTACCAAGGAAAACAATGACGTTACAGGATTCGAGCTGACCCTTTAAAAGCAACACTAAATTATAAGAGATGAAAAATCCCTTTAACTTTCTATTTCTCTTTATAAGTCTACTCAAAAGACAAGAATTCTCAGAACCCTGGGAGTGAGCAAAGTTCAGAAAATCAGAGGTCCATAGTTCTACCAAAAAGCAATTTTTTCAACAAGGTGTTTTTAACTTACCTCTTGAGCAAGATTTGGTACAAACACATTTATATAACTGTAATCTATTCTTAAATGCTTAAATAAACTTAGCTCACAACATTCTGTCATTATTGGACAAGTCATAAAATAGCATACTACATGTAAAGTTTAACACTGTCTTTACAGACTATTTTTTTATAAGCCTGAAGATTTATTACACTGGAACAATTACTACCGATACAGTCCAAACATCTAAGCAATTAAAAAGTGCAATGAAGTCTTTGCACAATACCATCTTCTATCTTTATAGGAAATAATATTAAAAGTGATGTTAATATGGTTTTGAAGGACAGTCTCATTAAAATCATAAACGATCAGAATACACGCAAAGTTCAGTATTACTGTCTAATTATGGGTACACTTTCAAGGTATCATATACATGAAATAAACTTTGATTAATCAAAGAGTTAATAAAGAATGCTGGATTTGAAGCCAAAATCTGGATTTAAAATGGTCATAGACACCCAGGCATATGCCACAGCTTCTCAGTCTTAGTTTCTTCTTTAGGAAAATGCAGCCAATTATATGAGCAAAACCTACATTTAAGGGCTATTGTGGGAGGGTCAAGCAGCAAAATGATGTATGTGAAAGCATGTTATAAATTATTTAACTCTACGTAATTACACCACCTCACGTTTGCAGAGTGTTTATAATTTCCCAAACACTTGCACATTTACGTCTTATTTATTAATAAAACATTCCATTTACTAGTCATTTTGATTAATTAAAAGTTTGTCATTTTATCACTTGGTTTATTAGTCTGAAAAAGCACATCTGTAGGTATTTCAGTGCACCAAGTGCCTTCTATGAAGTCAGAAATGAAAGGAAGAATCTACCATGTACACACACCACACAGGCTCCTACACAACATCAGCTTTTCTGGAAAGAGCTGCTATGAAAACGTGACCTACTACTTAACTGCATTTTTTAAAATAACCAGTCTGCGGTCACGTCACACCTGTCAGTATGTCCACTTATTTATCAACATACTAGAGTCCCGATGCACGAAATTCGTGCAAGAGTAGGCCTTCCTTCCCCCGGCTGCTGGCACCGGCTTCTCTCACAGCCCTGACTTTGTCCGGAAGGTCTTCCAGAAGGACGTTCAGTCTAATTAGCATTATGCTTTTATAGATGTATACGGCCAGAAGCACAAATTGTTTAAAACATCGTCAGAAAAGAGTTTGTTAATCAAATTACCAGAATTAGCCGGCTTCAATAGACAACCTTTCCTTGGTCCATACAGTATTGTTTTTCATGTTAATTATCTGTCACACTTAAAAACTGGGAGATGTCACATAAAAATCCAAAGTCCCAGCTTCACTGAAACCAAACAGATGTGAAAACTCTGGCAACAGCCGCTGGAAGGGGTGTCCCAGGTTCTCCTCCCTCCACGCTCCCACTCCACTGTCTTATCCCTGCCCTGGCCCCTGTGAGCACCCGGTGCATCCTGTGCACAGAAACATGACTTCCCAGCGTCCCGATGGGTGCAGTTACCATCCTGTCCGTCTCTGAGCTCGTGCTCCTCCCCCTCGTCTTCCTCTGAGCCGTCTCCGAACTCCTTCTCGTACCGCGCCTCCATCTCCCGGAGCTCCTTCTCCAGGTCGGCCAGCGCCATCCAGCTCTGCTCCTTGTACTGCTCGGCCAGTCTAGACACAAACAGCACAGTCTCCGCACTGCGCTCCCCGACTCTTCAGGCTCCGAGTCCATCCCAAGAGAGCTTCCTACCACCCCCACCCCACCCCACCCCCAACGTGCTCACAAACTTCACACCTGCACCGAGTTAAAGGGCAAAGTCACTGGAAATCTGTTAGCTGTCCTGGTTGATTTTAATTGCTCGACTAGATAATGGGTTTTGAAACATATAACTCTTAGCAACTCATTAAATGGTTTCAAGTGATGTTAAGTTGTAAGTGCTAATTTTCAAAAGATGAGGGGTGGGGCAGGAAGAATTTTTAAGAAGTCGTTTTTTTAGAGAATGCTGTAATGCTCTGGACACAATGCTTTTACAGTAACTCAAAAACAACAACGCTTTAAAGGCACTAGAAGGACCTGGATAGCTGAGAGTACACCGACTAAGAGGCAGTCCTGGGTGGCGGTTAAAAGCAAGGCCCTGGGCTGACTCCCTGGGTCCAACCCCGCCTCTGCGATTCGCTGGCCGTGCGACCTTGGCCTGTCTGCCTCGCACCCACAAAGGAACGAGGATACAAACCAGCACTTGCTCCCAGAACCGCTAGGAGAAAAGCCCAGGGCAGGGCCTTGTGCAGAGCGAGAGCTCGGGGGCCTTAGTTACTATTAACTTCCACAGGAGTCTGGAAAGGTCTCAGGTATAAAGGGCCTCGGAAGGACAACATCCAATTCAAACACCTTTTCACAGATGAAAAATCACTGTGCAACGTCAGGATTTAAAAGGTGAAGCCAAGATGCCTCAACCCGACGTGGAGGCACACGGCAGGTACCTCCTGCTGTGGCCCTGGGCCCCGCACGGCCCCACACGGCCAGGCCCCCCCGGCACATACTTGGCCTGCTTCAGCTTCTGCTGCCGCCGCATCTCCTCAGCTTTGCGGGCCTTCTCGGCGTTCTGCTCCTCCACCAGCCGGCGATGCGCCTGCACCCTCTTGTCTCTCTTGCGAATGAAAGCCACCAGCTGACGGACGAGCTCGTTCTTCTCCTTCCTCGCCTTATCTCGAGTCTTCTTGTTTTCTTTCTCCATGGCGCGTTTCTCCCAGCGGTTGGAAGCTTGTCGGGTATCATATTCCTCTTTCCAAGCAAAGTTCTTCTGCGTGCAGAAGCTCTGCCAGTAAGCGTAGAAAGGGTGGACTACCTGGCGACAGAGAAAACAGGCAAAATGCTCGCTTCGATGTAGACTTGTTTCGGTAAGGCAGCAACGTTAATGATGCAGAACATCTTTCGTATTTAAAACATTGCTATTAATCAAAGGAGAAGACAATCCTCTTAAGGCTTTCACAAAATAAATCACTATTCAGCATGAATTTAATGAGGAAATGAATGGGATGGGACCACAGTCAATTAGGAGGGAAAGGTCAAGAAAAGGGGAGGCTGCTGGGAAGAGAAAGGAAGCAAGTCACAGGACAGGAGCGAGAACGAGGATCCATTTTTACAAATAAAGAACCAGGATGTGAGACGCACTGATCCACGCTAAGCGGACAACAGCCGTGCACGCCCCTCACCGTGTCATAGTCGCTCTGGGAGTCCCCGAAGGTCGGGAAGTCCTCCGCATCCTCCTCCAGCACCGATTCCAGCTCTTCCTTCGCAATCATTTCAAACACATTCCGATACACCGCGTAAAAGCCCTAGAGCAGGCGACAGAAACACACATTCCTACACTTTATAGTCTAATCACAGAGTGAGATTTTAAAATGCAACGTGAAAAACTTTACTGTTGAAGGATTACAACCCCAAACTCTGTCCGTGTAAGTACATCTACATTCCAATTGGAGGTTTTTAATATGCGGATACTTTAAATATGAAGCCAATGGTGGCTTTTTTGGTTTGTTTTCAGAATGAACAGTTTCACTTTCGATTATAGAATTCTCTGCATTTGAGAGTCTCACTTAAATGCTTGGTAAGAAATGGTAAGGGAGTCCACGCCTTACCTTCTCATCATCTCCATAGCCAGAGTAGCAGGTGACGGTGAAGAAGTGAAGCAAGTCTAAGCTGTCATCCTGATATTCCCCATCAAGCCCACCTTTGAGCAGAGCCTCTCTATGATTATCATACCTGAGCAGACGAAGAAATGAGCAGCGTCAGGGAAGGCGAAATGCATAAGAATTCAAAAGGACTTCTTACTCGGAAACAGCCAGAATGCTATTGCAGTCCATTTTAATGTGTCCAACCCACAACCAAAAAATTTTAAGAAAAAAATGTCAACATGAAAAGACAATCTATCGTAAAATTGCTGATTAAAACTCTGACTAGCCCACTACCGGCATGTACAGCACTAGCCCACGGGAACAAGGGACTGTCATGCACCAGGGAACCTCCACGCCACTCCCCGCAGGTGGCTGCAGTCCCAGGAAAGAAACATTCCTGAGCAGGACGGGGTGGACATAATCTCGTCCACAGACTACTTACACACGTGGGATCTGAGAATTTAGCAGCATGAACCGAAATCACTCTTATGTCTACGTAAACAATGGAGTAGCTTCACGCACATGCAATTACCCACAGAGCAACTCTGTAAAGTTTGCTACAACAGGAAGCTGAGGCTCAAGGACATTAAACAGCTTGTTGTCCACAATCATAAAGCCTGTAAGCAGCAAAGCCAGACGTCAGAGCCAGGTCTGGGGAGGACTCAGAGTGCAGTGCCGCCTGCACACAGCAGCAGAGGAGAAACACGTAGGCCTCTCTCTGTGACTTCCATGTAAAAGGCGATTTTATAGGAACTTCCTTTACAGCCTTTCTCTCTGGAGGCCGGCCGTGGGCACACTGACCCCGAGGACAGGCACAGAGCATGCGCACCACCCGGGCTGCGGATGAGCAGCAGGTCCTGCAGTTGTAACAGGCTCAACACCTATCCCTCTGCAGCAAAAGTCCCAACACAGACTCTGTTCGGAAATGATATTCAATGACCAGGTCATCATTAACAAAAGATGTAGAAGCTTAACTTACACACGTGTCTGAGAATTTAGCAGCATGAACCGAAATCACTCTTATGTCTACGTAAACAATGGAGTAGCTTCACGCACATGCAATTACCCACAGAACAACTCCATAAAGTTTGCTACAACAGGAAGCTGAGGCTCAGGGACATTAAACAGCTTGTTGTCCACAAATAAAGCCTGTAAGCAGCAAAGCTAGACGTCAGAACCAGGTCCGAGCGCCAGGAGGACTCAGAGTGCAGTACCGCCTGCACACAGCAGCAGAGGAGAAACATGTAGGCCTCTCTCTGTGACTTCCATGTAAAAGGCGATTTTATAGGAACTTCCTTTACAGCCTTTCTCTCTGGAGGCCGGCCGTGGGCACACTGACCCCGAGGACAGGCACAGAGCATGCGCACCACCCGGGCTGCGGATGAGCAGCAGGTCCTGCAGTTGTAACAGGCTCAACACCTATCCCTCTGCAGCAAAAGTCCCAACACAGACTCTGTTCGGAAATGATATTCAATGACCAGGTCATCATTAACAAAAGATGTAGAAGCTTAACTCGATTTCTTTATAGAGTGTAATTGTAGGGAAAATATTATAATTCTTGTATTAAAACACTGTACCTGTGTGTTAAAAAAACAAAACACTCTGATTTTATTTATTTTAAATGATGAGAGAGAGTTGTTGTCCCACATATTTCTGCATTCACTGGTTTATTTCTGCATGTGCCCTGACCGGGGATTGAACCCACAACCTTGGTGTATCAGGATGATGCTTCAACCTACTGAGCAACCTGGCCAGGGCTGTATCTGTTTTTGAAAGACAAGTCAGCATGCCTCCTTGTCTGACATCAGAAAACTGTCATACACCAAAGAGACCCCATTTAATGAGAAGTCACTTCATATATCAAAGTTAAAACTATTTTAACTGCCAAGCTTTCTGCATCAGGAGCTATAAAATCAGACAGTTGGAGTAAGAAGTTCCCTCCTACTCAAATACTGCATTTTATATGAGTAGGTGACAGAAGTCTCAGAGCACACCAAAAACCATTAATGATTTAAATGTTTTAAAAACCCTCTATTGACAATTCTTCCCAACAACATACACGAGGACGAGAGGGACAGCGTGCTGCTCACCATGCTCTTTCCTGAGGGTCACTCAACACGTCATATGCTGCTTGGATTAATTTAAATTGTTCAGCTGCTTCTGCGGCGTTATCCAGATTTTTATCTGTGAAAATAAAGTCACAGAAATTCAGTCATCAAAAAAGTAGGACAAAATCTAAAAGGGAGCTCACCCATCACAAATGCCAGAAACACATGAGGAGTGTGCAAAACAAAGGAAAACTAGGAAAAGGCAGAGATACTGGACGATGGTTAATAATCAGAACCTAAGTGTCTACTCGAGTAGAAAGTTCAGGCTTCCCTAAGCCTGGTGCCTCCCCGCACTCACCCTGAGCCCTCGCCTGGGTCCACAGATGGAAAACCCTGAGTAGCATGCACCTTCTTTTTAGGAGAAACGAAATATATGTATGTAATTGGTTAGGAAGAACTGCTATTATTTAGTGTTAGGTCAGGGGTCCTCAAACTTTTTAAACGGGGGGCCAGTTCACTGTCACTCAGACCGTTGGAGGGCCGGACTATAGTTTAAAAAAAAAACTATGAACAAATTCCTATGCACACAGCAGCGGCAAAAACACCCGGCGGGCCGGATAAATGTTTTCGGCGGGCCGCATGTGGCCCGCGGGCCATAGTTTGAGGACCCCTGTGCTAGGTTATACTTTCTGTTCACAACCTGTTTTTCTTCCTTATTAACACATACAAAAATAAAGTTTTAATTAGCTATACTATTCTTCTTAGCTGTGTTTCCTTAACCATGGAATTCAGAAAGCAACTTTGCCTCAAGATGGCAGCCACCTTCCAAGACGACCCCCAAAAACCCCCACCTCCTGGCATCACACCGTGTGGTCCCCGGGGTGGTGTGTCTGGCTGACAGCAGGCAGCAGTGTGAGCAGTGACATGGGGGACGGCACGGTATGGCGCTTCTGAGATGTTCTGATGAAAGACAGCAGTTTCCACCGTGGGCTCTCACTCCCTCTGGGCTCACTGCCATGGCATGACAACACCCAGGTGGCGATGGAGAAGCCACGCGGTGAGAATGGAGGCCTCTGGCCGTGGCCAGCAGCGACTGAGGCCTGCCAACACCACGTGAGCGAGCTTGAAAACAGGTGTCCCAGACAGTGAAGACACAGCCTCTTAAGAAACCCTGAGCCAAAACCACCCAGCTAAGCTGTTCCCAGGCTCTGATCCTCAGAAGCTGTGTGAGTCCATCTGATGAATGTTTGCAGTGTTTGTTGTTTTAAGCCCTGAGTTTCTGGTAGTTTGTTACACAGCAATAGGTAACTAATATGCTCAGAAAGTAAACTATTTGAATCCATCTCAGAGCACACCAGAGCTCTTTAAGCTACAGCTCCATAGTTGCCCTCTAAGAGGCGAGAGGAAAATATGACAGATGTGTATTCCCTACAATAGTCTGGCAGCCTTAGAGCAAGGCATCCTGCCTCCTCCTCTCAGGTGCCATCGCACGGATCCCACGTCCTTCAGGTGGTTGGTTGTCTGCTCAACAACTAACAGTGACAACACTGTCTCAAGGCAGCAGTTGGCCATGGCTCTTTTTGCTAAGATGCTTTAACACAAAAAGCTTTCAATATTATTTTGAAACTAGAGGCTCGGTGCACGAATTCGTGCACGGATAGGGTCCCTCAGCCTGGCTGGCGATCAGAGCCAATCAGGCCCTCTCGCCCAGTCCCGATCGGGGCACCTCGGGGCCGCCCAGCTGGGGGGAGGGACCACGGGAGGTTGGCCAGCCATGGGAGGTTGGCTGTGGGAGTGCACTGACCACCAGGGGGCAGCTCCTGAGCTGAGCGTCTGGCCCCTGGTGGTCAGTACACATCATAGCTACCAGCTGGTCGTAACATTCGCTTAGGCTTTTATATATTATAGATCATGATCCCTTAGAACTGAAAGGAGGACAAAAGTCCCCATCCCTGTTTGTGAGCATACAATGCAAGTCTAAATCCATGTCCACAGTGCAAGCCCATCTGAAGCAATAAACATCTCTTTGGGGCTGCAATGCTTACACTTGGACGCAAGCTGTATGGTCAGGAGGATGGAGCAGGTCTTTGAACGTTTCATCAAGCAGCTGGAGCTACCAAGACAGGCCACCTCTGGATTCCTTAATATGTGAGATTAATAAATGGCTCTGGTTTAGCCACTGTAGGCAGCCTCCTGTCATCTACAGCTAAACACAAGCCTGATATGACTTGAGGGTCAGAGTCCAGCTAAAAATAGTCATGCTTTCCAAGTCTTCCTCAAATCACTAAAAAAATCTTGTCAGATAAGAAAAAGCACAGTTGAGATGGAAGCTGAATGGCAGAAACAGGCAGCAAAACAAAGCAGGTGACTGCTTGGGAGTGGAGGTGGGTGGCTCTTCTTCACCTTTTAATCAGTCCTGCACTTGGTTGTCCTGCTTCTTCCCACTCCCTTCTCGCCTCCCCCAAAGAAGTTTGAAGAAAGCTAAAGCGTTTAAATGCATAAAACCCACTAATGTACCACCTGAAAATAAGATCTAATCTCTCACTGAAACATCTTTCTTAAGTAATTTTTTTCTATCTGTCATATGGCTTTTTATTTCTGTTAAACATACCTGACCTGGTTGACTAGCAGGTTGAGCTGAGATCCAAAAGCATGAGAGTGAGAAGTTAAAAAGCACTAATTTAAAAAATGGAAAGCCCACGTGATGTATTATTCACCAAGTGCAAAAAGCCACAGGCATTGCAAATCCAGCCATCACCGTTTAAAAGGCATTCATTCTCACATCATTCTCTGTGCTTTTCTCTTCACCCACTATGCTCTTTTCCACTCCCTTCCAAGCCTTTATACAGTGCCTTCTGGAAAATTCCATGGATCGTGCCACTTAAGCCAGGCTCCCTGAGAAGGCTGCTTGCTTCCCTCTCAGACTCCTTCAGCCACAGCCTTCACAGGACAGGTCTGTGCGAGAGCTGGTGTCCTCCTGGCCACCGCTCCGTCACTCACCGGAAGACAAACTAGCATTGCTTCCTGATCCATTCATTGGCCATCCCACCTTCCTCCCCTCCTGTCTGCTCCCCTCCCAACCACTGCGCTTACGCACGGAGAATCCTGGCACCTGGCTCAGCCTCCACCCCCAGGTCCTGGTCGTCATCCTGAGGACTTAATGTCCCTTGACCTCCAGTCTTGCCTGCTCCAACCTACTGTCCCCATGACAGCCAGCGAGATACTTAAAAAACGCAAACCTACCATCTCGCCCCTGCTCCCAGCACTTCACTGGCTTCCCAACGCTCTCAGGTTAAAATCCAATCCCTAGTCCAGTCCCTCACGCCTTCAGGAACTGGCCCTACTCCCCTGGCCTTCCTGGCCTCGGCCATGCTGGCTTTCTCCTGCCCCCTCCACCTGTCTTCTCTGTATTCCCGCGTTAGGTCTCCATGGAGATGTCCATTCTAGGGAGGCCCATCTCTCCCACAAATACCAAAACCCAGTCCAGGTCGGGTACCTGTGCTCAGGGGCACCTGTTATTTGTCTTCGTGCTGCCCTTACCTCACCGGACTGACATCGCCCGTCTCCTCTCAGTGTCGCCCAAAGACCACATGTGCCAGCAGGGCAGGGACCACTCCTGTCTCTACCCACTGAGCCAAACTGGCTAAACCAACCCATGTTTTCAGACTTCGGTCCATCTGTCCACTGGGCCACTTCTGTCCACCGCGTGCTCTTCCCCATTCGGTTCAGTTCACCCTTCCCAACTGCATCCTCGGGGACCCAGGCTCCTGCCAAGGGGAAGCCTCACAGCCCCTCAGGCAGTGGTTCTCAACCTGTGGGTCGAGACCCCTTTGGGGGTCGAACGACCCTTTCACAGGGGTCGTCTAAGACCATCGGAAAACACATATATAATTACATATTGTTTTTGTGATTAATCACTATGCTTTAATTATGTTCAATTTGTAACAATGAAATTGGAGGTCACCACAACATGAGGAACTGTATTAAAGGGTCGCGGCATTAAGAAGGTTGAGAACCACTGCCCTCAGGACCCAGGGGGGCTCCCTCGCCTCCTGCATTCCCGGGGGTCACCGGTTCGTCTATCAGTCCAATGACCAATTCCATGCGCTGTGCTGTTCTGCTTGCCCCGTATTTAACTCTTTTCTGCGTGTGAGGCATGTTTTCCCAGCAAGACGGAGGCATTTCAGAACCCAGTGACTTGCCCATCCCGGAGCCTAGAAACGTGCTTATTGATCAGTGCCGATAGGAAAGCCCCTTATCAGCCTGGAGATGCCGAGATCCCACTCCTAACCGAGCTCCCCCGGCTGGGAGCTCACCGGGCCACACAGTCACCCCGGCCGGGGCCACGGCATGAAAACCACGCCAATGAAGACACTTCTGAGTCAGACACAAACTTCACCGGGCAGAGAGGTCCTCGCCTCTGCCTTGATTTCAAGGGGACGGGAGCCATCGTTACACTAAGTGGCTGGGACTCCGGGACCAGTTCAGGGAGGAGGGAAAGCACGAGGAACCTGGGCGCAGGGGACTCGGGTCCGGGCGGGGCCA